AATTTTCATGTGCTCCTTTCCTTAGTAAAATCAAACGAGAGCACAAAAGCGGGAAAGAGCGGACAAACCATTCAATTCAAAAGATAGCTACTTCTAAATTCAAGTCAAAGTAAAGAATGTAATCTAACGATTATAACAGATTACCCTTTAGTTACCGTAGTAGACACATAAAATTTATAAGTTTAATCCATACAAAATTTGGATTGAAAAAAATTATTTTTTTGTTTTACTTCTGTTGAAAAAGACAATGTCTGGGAAATTATTATTTTCCAAAATTAACTAAAACATCATTATTATCAATATTTCTAAAAATCTTTTGAAAACCCGAGCAACTAACGCCCGCGAATGCAAACTTGGACAAAAAAAAGTACAGTCACTCATTCATCTCCATTATTTAACCCCACCCCCTCCCCCTCCCCCCCAAAAAAAAAACTAAAGTTACCTGCAACAGACAAAAACTTGACAATTTTTTCAACATTTTGGGCACAAAAGTTACCTTTTTCTGCAAATCATATCAAAATAACATAATAAAACATGAAAAACAAATTGATCAAAATAATTTTCACTTTGTTTTTATTCCCAACACAAAAGTAACTAAAAGATAACTGCATGTAACCTTTCATTAAAGATAAAATTAAGTAATAACTTAAAAAATAAGCGTAAGTGAGAAGCTAATAGAACAAAACAAAAAAACTTACATGCAACAACCATGAAAAATTATCACTTAATTATAGTAATAACTAAGTTTAGTAACAATTATCACTTGATCAATTGAAAAAAACTGTAACTTAAAAAAAATACTACACATTTGAAAAAAAAAAAGGAACTTACCATTATTGTGAACAGTAGCCTGAAAAAGCGGCCCATTTCTAGGAGAAAAATTTACTGAAGAAGAATACGAATTTGGAGAAGAAAGAGAAATCCTTTGAATTTGAGGAGACTGAAAAAAACTTTCAGCAGATGAAACTTGAGTTGGCTGCTGCTGATAAAACTGTTGAGTTTCGGACTGATAATATTTTTTCGCCATAAATACAATAAATCCACTGAGTGTTTTTTTAATTTGACAAACTGAGATTTTACTCAAAATATCAAGTGAACCTTCTTCTCCAATTGATAAAAGGAGTCTTCGTACTTTTTCATCTGGTAAATTTTGTCTCTGATTTTTGCAGATTTGGTTTAGCATTTGTTCTACTGATGGTGGAAGTTTAATCACTTCTTCTTGTTCTTCTACTTCATTGTTGTAGGAGTAAAAATCTCCCATTTTAATTTCTATTGTTGCTGAAAACTGGGATTTTGGACAGAGAAATTGAGGGGTTTTGGAAATTCAAAGTGACTGGCGAAGGGGAACGATGTCTGCTTGGTTAATGTGCTCCTTTGCGTAGAAAGAAAGATTTTAAGAAAGTAAAATCAAAAAAGAATATATTAATATTACTCCTCCCCTTCTCACTTATGTGACCTTATATTTTTTTATTTTAATTTGTTCCGAAAAGAGGGAAATAGTTTTTCTTTCTTTTTACTAGCACTAGCATGTCTCCCTACACTTTATCCTACCCTAAACTCATTTGTGAGATTACGTGTTGTTCCGAAAAGAAAGGTAAATTTTTAATCATTATCAAAAATAATTAGTGTATACTTAACTTATTATTTTAGAAAATTAAGAAAGTATTGATTAAGTTTTTTCACTTTTATCCTTACTCTAATAATTGGCGATAGATATTAAGTAATCGAATGAACATAGATTTGATTGAAACTTGAAAACAAAAGTTTTTGAAGTAATATTAAAAAATAGTTTTTGGAAGTTAAGATTGTATTTGGATATGTATTTTACTTTTTTTTTAAAGTGAAGATTTGTGAGTGGAAGCAAATTTTGACTCAAAAACTAGCCGAAACCAGTTTTTGGAACTTGAAAAGTTTTCTTCATATTTTTTTCAAAAACGGGTCAAATTTCATGAAGAAATAATACTTTCAACTTAAATTTTATATATATATATAATACTTTCAAACGGGAGCTAGTTTAGTGAAAATATAATAAAGTCATAAATTAATTAAGATCAACGAATAAATAACGATATTTTAGTTAAATTATCTTTTTAATTAGTATTTTTTAAGTGGAGTGCAAAAGTCAAATATGACAAGTAAAATGGATCGAAAATAATATAAAGTTCTCATTTTATATTAATTAGAATTTTTTATAGTCACACAAATATTATAATATATCTGATATTATAAAATTTAAAAGTATTATAGTCATATAAATATTATGTTATATGTAAGACTATAAGTTTCAACAGTTTTTTATTCTTTCGTAAGTATGTTTCGAGTCAAATTTGATCACATAAATTGGAACGAAACGGGTACTATTTAAGTAAAAACTTTATGTGCTCATTCCTTTAGTAAAATCAAACATAGAGTACAAAAGCTGGAAAGAGCAGATAAACAATACAATTCAAAATATAGCTACTTTAAATGCAAGTCAAAGTAAAGAATGTAATCTAATGATTATTACTGTAACGATTCGACAGGTCGTTCAGCGATTTGAGGTCTTAAGTAGCTTCACTTCATGTATTATGACTTGTATGTGTGGTCGTAATTGAATTTCGGAAAGTTCGGACTTGATTTGAAAAGAAAAAATTCTAATTTCTAAAAGTTTAAGTTGGAAGAATTGACTAGGGTATGACTTTTGAGTAAATGACCTCAGAATCTAGATTTGAAGGTTCCAACAGGTTCGTATGATGATTTAAGACTTGGGCGTATGTTCGGGTTGAGTATCGGATCACCCGAGAGCATTTCAGTGCTTATTATGGAAAGTTGGTATTTTAAAGGTTTAAGAAATTCTTAGGTTTGACTCGAAGTGATTTTTAATGTTACCAATATTCGTTTGGGGTTCCGAGCCTTGGAATAGCTTCGTTATATCAATTATGACTTCTGTGCAAAATTCGAGGTCAATCGGACTTGATTTGATAGTTTCGGCGTCGGATGTAGAAGTTTGAAGTTCTAAAGTTCATTAAGCTTGAATTGAGGAGTGATTCGTGGTTTTAGCGTTATTTGATATGATTTGAAAGCTCGACTAAGTTCGTATTGTATTTTGTGGCGTGTTAGTATATTTGGTTAAGGTCTCGAGGGCCTCGAGTGGATTTCGGATGATTAACGGAATGAATTTGGCCTTATGAAAATGTTGGTGGCACCATATCTGTTGTAACTGCACCTACGAGGTTTTGGCCGCAGGTGCGGTACCGCAGAAGCGGCCAAGAGGGTCGCAGAAGCGGCCAGACATGATTGGGGCTGGGGTTGCAGAAGCGAGCAGGTGGACCGCAGAAACGGAGTCGCGCCTGCGGTTGAGCGATCGTAGAAGCGGAATGGCTGGGGAAGGCTAGGACCGCAGACGCGGTCGAGTTTTGTAGAAGCAGGACCGCACATGCGCATGAGGAGCCGCATAAGCGAAAGCGCAGATGCGTAGATTTAGGGGCCTGAAGGGAGCCGTAGAAGTGGCTCATGTTCCACATATAAAGGATGTTGGGCAGTAAGTTTTTTTTTAAAACGGGATTTGGCCAATTTTCATTCAGTTTTCACTTGGTTGGGGCGATTTTGAAGAGCTTCAAGGGGAGATTTTCATCAAGCAGCATAAGGTAAGTGATTCTCACCTACAGCAAGTTAAATACATGGTTTGTATAAGGATTTAAACATGAAATTAGTATAAATTATGGGAGGGGGAGGGGTTGGTAGAAAACCTAGGATTTGATATTTTTGGATTTTGACCTCGAAATTGGACATGGAATTAATAATAAATTATATGTTTGAGTTCGTGGTGTTATGTGTAAGATTTGTCTTCATGAATTTTCGGAATCCGGGCACGTGTGCCCGGGGGTTGATTTTATTGACTTTTCGAGTGGAGTTGGGAATTGTTTAAAATGATTAATTATGGGTATTAGAATATATTTTGATTGGTTTGTATATATGTTTGAATAGTTTTGGATCAACGGGCATCGTTTTGAAGAGTTAGAGAGGCTTTGGAGCTAGTTATGGAACTTCGGAGCGAGATAAGTGATAGGTTATAAGTGTCCTTATTTTATGTTTTGATAATCTAACAAACTTAATGTCAAGAACCGGATAAGGAACCTGATCCACATTTGGTCAACATTCTCAAGCGCATGGAAATAACCAGACTTAAGCCGGAGATGTTCGTCAGAATTTCAGAAGTTAAAGAATCAACAAGGGAACAGATGGACTTCAGTTCCCTTGGTGATTGTACCAAGTCAACTCTTCAACAACTGGAAAGTGACTGACTGCACACGTAACAGTACAACACAGTGCAACAGTCACCTCTATTAGGAAGGACCTTGTACCCAAGTTGCGTACATCATTCAAGTGATATCATCAATGTTATATTAACATTAAACCAATGACAAAACATCACTTGAACACAAAGAGAATTTATTCAAGCCATTTACGGTGATAGATCATCAAAAACTGATTCTTAAGTGCATCAAGAACAAAGTACAACACTACTGCGGACCAGTTCCCCATATCAAGTTATTGTAAGTCCTTAGTTGAGTTGTAACTTTGTAATAGTTCTTTAATTGTAACTCCTACTTAGCTTGTTTAGAAGCATTCCGTAGGAAAATCTTTTGTAAATCATAAACCCTTGTGTTTGTGTCTTGGCTAGAGTTAGTCGAGTTGTAAAGTCTTTGTAATAGAGTTATTACAAAGTGGCTTGTAATAGTATATTACAAGTTAGTGAGGGATTAAGAGGTTAATTCCTAGGTTGCATAGGGTATACTCGAAAAGTTGCTCAGTAGTGAAGTTGAAATCCTACAAGGGTAGGCCGTGATTTTTAATCCCGTTGAGTTGATAATTTTCCACATAAAAACTCTCAGTGTTATTTACTTTATGATGTGTTCGTGTAATCTGTGAAAACTAATAGAGAACCTGGTTCTCTATATAGAACCTGGTTCTCTATATAGTTTGGTGGACCCTCGAATTCTATCAATTGGTAGCAGAGCATGTTCTTTCTATCTACTCCACCAAACTTTGAAGAAGGTCAGTCTACATACAGGCCACCAAGGTTCAATGGCCAGTACTATGGATGGTGGAAAACTAGGATGCACGACTTCATTGTGGCTGAAGATTTAGAGATATGGGATATTATATGTGACAGACCCTTTGTTCCCACCAAGAATCTTGGTGATCCAGCTGTAGCCATTCCTAAGACGAGGAAGGAATTCAATGATGCTGATCGAAAGGTCATAGAAAAGAACTTTTGTGCAAAGAAAATTCTTGCTTGTGGCATTGGTCCTGATGAATATAATAGGATATTGGCATGCCAATCAGCAAAAGAAATCTGGGAGGCTCTTCAGACAGCTCACGAAGGAACAACACAGGTTAAGCAATCCAAGATCGACATGCTCATAACTAAATACGAGCTCTTCAGGATGAAAGATGATGAATCCATCCAAGATATGCATACTCGCTTCACCTCCATCATTAATGCGCTTCACTCTCTTGGTGAAACCATTCCAAGAAACAAGCATGTCAGGAAAATCCTTAGTGTACTGCCCAGTTCTTAGGAAAGCAAAGTGAACGCCATTACATAGGCAAATGACTTGCAGACACTGACCATAGATGAACTCGTCGGCAATATGAAAACATATGAAATGAAGAAGAAGAAGAATAAGAAGAAGAAGAAGAAGAAGAAGAAGAAGAAGAAGAAGAAGAAGAAGAAGAAGAAGAAGAAGAAGAGGAAGAAGAAGAAGAACCTGGTCCTCAAGACATACAGCAATGATTCAAGTGGTGAGGATGGTGATATGGCTTACTTGACAAGAAGAGTCCAGAAGATGGTTCGCAGGAATTGAGGCATTCCAAAAAGGGGAAGTTTTAGCAAGCCAAAATATTATGACCTTTGTTATAAATGTGGCAAGCCAAGATAATTCATCAAGGATTGCCCTCTCCTAAAGAAAGATCAGTACAAAAACAACCTTGACAAAGCAGCCAAGAGGAACCCGATTCTTGATAAACACTTCAAAAGAGAGAATGTCGCTGACAATGTCGTAAAGCAAGCTCTTGCTACATGGGGAGACTCCTCCAACGAATCTAAAGAAGAAAATGATCATGGTGATAGTTCAATGATAGCAGTGGAAAGTGAAGCAACTGAGTATGACTCAATTTTTGCCTTGATGGCTCAGTCCGATGACGATGAAGATTGCGATGATGATGCGGTAAATTTTCTGGATGTTCAGAGAAATCTGAATTCTTATTCTCCTAAAGAATTTATATCTTTGGCAAATGTGTTAATTGATGCTTATCACAGTCTTATAAATGATAAAGATGCTTTAATTGTGGAGTTAGGATAAGCAGAATAAACCAGAGATGCCTTAGTAATCGTTATTGTGGATTTAAAGGAAATAATTGAGAACCTAAAGAAAAAGAAGGATGCCTTAGATAAAAAACTGCACATATAGAACATGAAAGAGATGATCTAATGGTCATTGTGGTAGACCTCAAAGAGACATTTGAGTGTGCAAAAAAGGAAAAAGAAGTCTTAGCTGAGAGAGTTGCTAATATTGAGCATGAGAGAGATGGCCTATTAGTGGTGGTAGTGGAATTGAAGGAAACAATTGGGGAACTTAAAGTGGAGAGTAGGCCTAAAAATTCTCAAAAGGGAAAATAAGTTGCAAGTGAGGCACACATTAAGCTTAAAAGTGAGTTAAATTCAGTGAAGTCTAGTCTGTGTGCTGAGCTTGAGAAAAACAAACATCTTCAGGAAGAACTAGGTATAGTGAAGAGTGATCTTGAAAAATCACTCAAGTGGACCTGGTCCTCTAATGCTATCACTGCCATGCACACCAACAATGGGGGAAACATGCAGGGGATTGGGTTCCAAAGGGAAAAGATTTCCTACAACCCTCATAGCAAGTACGTTACTGTACCTGATAATTAGCTTTGCACTCACTGCGGTAACATTGGGCACTTTAAAGAAAACTTTATGGCCAAATTTCAGTCACAGCAGAAAAATAAAGTTTTTGCTCAAAAAGTAACTACTGATAGAGAACCTGACCCCTCACATAAAAAACGCATAATGCCTGCTTGGACCAGAAGATCCCTCATTCACCCCTTTCCTCATTATAAGGGACACAAACTCGTTTGGGTTCCTAAGTCTAACTCTTGATTTTCTTGTGCAGGGAACAGTGAAAGGATGCACCCTACAATGGTACATGGATAGTGGTTGCTCAAGGCATATGACTGGAAGTACAAATGATTTTCTTTCACTTAAGGTCATACAAGGAGGGAGTGTATCCTTTAGAAATGGAAAGAAAGGATACATTCTGGGACTTGGAAGGATTGGGAAGACTCTCTCACACTCAATCGAAAATGTCTACTACGTGAATGGGTTGAAGTACGGCTTGCTAAGTGTTTCCCAAATTTGTGACATGGGAAACAAGGTGGATTTTGTGTCAAAAATATGTACAGTCACTAACCTAATGACTGGTGAGGTGGTGCTAGTAGCCAAAAGATACAAAAATATCTACGTTGCTAATTTTGAGTCTCTGTAGAATGGTGATCTCAGCTGTCTGAGTGTTGTTGATAATGATGCTGAATTATGGCATAGGAGGCTGAGTCATGCAAGCTTCACGTCGCTGAACAAATTGGTCAGGAAGAACCTGGTTCGTGGCCTTCCAAAGTCAAGTTTCAAGGATCACAAAGTGTGTGATGCATGTGTAAAAGGCAAGCAAATCAGATCCTCATTCAAGCCCAAAAAGGAAGTCAGCACCTCAAGGCCACTTGATCTTCTTCACATGGATTTATGTGTACCATGAAGGTGGCAAGCAGGGGAGGAAAGAAATATATCTTCGTTATAGTTGACGATTACTCTAGATTTACCTGGACTCTGTTTCTCAGAACCAAGGATGAAACCTTTGAAGTGTTTGTTTCCTTCGTCAAAAAGATTCAAGTGAAGATGGGTAATGATGTAGCTTGCATCAGGTCTGATCATGGGACAGAGTTTGACAATGCCAAATTTGATGAGTTCTGTACTGAAAATGGTATCACTCACAACTTCTCAACTCCAAGAACACCTCAACAAAATGGTGTTGTGGAAAGGAAGAATAGAACTCTTGAAGACATGGCAAGGACAATGTTGATTGACAGTGGGATTGCAATGAATTTCTGGGCAGAAGCTGTCAATACTGCTTGCTACTTGGTGAACAGGTGCATGATCAGGTCCCTTCTGAACAAGATTCCATATGAACTGCTGAATGGAAGGAAGCCCAAACTGACACATCTAAGGACTTTTGGGTGTAAATGTTTTGTCCTCAACAATAGAAAGGAAACTCTTAGAAAAATCGATGCCAAAAGTGATGAAGGAATCTTTCTGGGATACTCATCTCAAAGCAAAGCTTACAAAGTATACAACAAAAGGACTCAATGTGTTGAGAAAAGTATACATGTGATATTTGATGAATCTCACCTCTCATGTGAGAAGGACAGACATGCTAATCAAGATGGAGAACATTGATCTGTTTCAGGAGAAGCTATTGACCTGACAAATGGAAAAGCAGACATAGTGAGTCATGTAAAGAAATCCAGTAAAGATGATGCGATTACACCTCCATTTATTGGAGAGGAATATGGTCCCCTGATCACACCAACCGAAGCTGAAAATAGTGTTGTTGATGCAATCCAAGGTACTCCACTTGCTGAAGTAAGAAGCGCCCAAGAACCTCAGTCAAACATACCTGGATCCTCTGCCAATGAGATTCATGTACCAAATTGGAAGCACAAAAGCTCATATCCTCTTTACAACATAGTCACCCCTTTTGAGTCAAGAGTTCAAACTAGATCAAAAGCAAGAATGCCTTTTCAGCCTTTTTTTCCCAAATAGAGCCCAAAAATAGCAAAGAAGCATTGAAATATGCAGGCTGGATCACAGTCATGCAAGAGGAGCTGCATCAATTTGAAATAAACAAGGTATGGCACCTGGTTCCTCGACCTGTAGATCGAACTGTCATAGGGACCAGGTGGGTATTCAGGAACAAGCTTGATGAGTTTGGAAATACAACAAGAAACAAGGCAAGGCTTGTAGTTCAAGGCTACAATCAAGAAGAAGGGATTAATTATGATAAAATATTTGCTCCAGTTGCTCGAATGGAAGCTATTAGAATTCTTATTACATTTGCATCTCATATGGAGTTCACACTATTCCAAATGGATATCAAATGTGCATTTCTAAATGGCTACCTGAAAGAAGAAGTTTACGTCAAGCAGCCTCCTGGATTTGAGTGTCACGAGCATCCTGAGCATGTACTCAAGCTGGACAAGGCATTGTATGGGCTAAAGCAGGCTCCCCGGGATTGGTATGAAAGGTTATCAAAGTTTCTTCTAGAAAATGGCTTTACAAGAGGGAAAATTGCAACACTCTTTTTCTGAAGAAACGAGGGAGGAACTTGCTCGTTGTTTAAATATATGTTGATGATATCATTTTTGGAGCTACAACTACTCTCTTTGTGAAGAGTTCATAAAACTCATGGGGAGTGAGCTTGAGATGAGTATAATGGGAGAATTAAATTTCTTCCTGGGACTTCAAGTGAAGCAATCTCAAAAGGGAAAAATGATAAGTCAGCATAAGTACATCAAGGAGTTGCAAAAAAGGTTTGACATGGAAACATCAAAAGTTATTGCCACAGCTATTGCCACAGCTACTCGTCTAGATATGGATGAACCCGGTTCTCATGTAAATCAGACCATGTATAGAGGGATCATAGGGTCACTCTTGTATCTCACTACAAGCAGACCAGACATTGTGTTCAGCGTGGGCCTTTATGCAAGGTTTCAATCCAATTCAAAGGAATCTCATCTGAAGTCTTCCAAGAGAATATTAAGATATCTCAAAGGAACGCAGGACTTGGTTCTTTACAATCCCTCAGGTAACAAATTTGATCTTATTGGGTATGCTGACGTTGATTATGCATGATATCTGGTCGACAGGAAAAGCACGTCTGGAATGGCACATTTCCTGGGTTCTTGCCTAGTCTCATGGGGTACAAGGAAGCAAAACTCAGTGGCACTCTCAACTGCATAAGCAGAATATGTAGCAGCTGCTTCTTGATGTGCTCAACTAATATGGATTAAGCAGTAGCTGGAAGACTTTGGAGTGTTCTCTGATTGTGTGGCCTTGCTTTATGACAATACATGTGCACCCAACATGGCCAAGAATCCAGTCCAACATAAGAGAACAAAGCACATTGATGTACGTTACCACTTTATCATAGACAATGTTGAAAAAGGGCTCATTTGCATAAAATTATACAGCACAGAAGATCAGATTGCAGACATATTTACCAAGGCCTTGAGTAGAGAACATTTTGAAAGAAATCGTCTGGCACTGGGATTGATAAAACCCAACTGAGAACCTGGTCCCTTGATGATTGGCTATGAAAGAAATGTTTAGGTAAAATTAGCTAAAAAATATTTTTTTGGCAAAGTCTAACTCATCTTTATACCGTTACAGGTAGACACGCATGATGATTACATAATAAGTAGGCAGTTGATATAGTACGCGCCGGTAAAAAGGGCAAAGCTTACAGATGCAAAATTAGTCAGGGAATCTGGTTCTCCTGACACAGGTTAGTAGTTTCTCTGTTCTCTCATGCACAATTTTTAACGGTTAAAATAAGTGCCACATCATCAGTGTATCGGTTTCTTTTCTTTGCGTCTTTTGAACCCAAACGTCTCACCCGTTAGAAATCGACTGACTCCCAAAACTGCTGTCTTTTCCTAACCGGTCCCTCATCAATCTTAAATACATCCATCACTGTCATAACTCCTCACATCAAATGTTAAAATTTTCCTTCTTCTTTCTCTCTTTCAAACTACCCATCTCTTTTCCTCAACTCATCACTTCTCTCCATGGCTGACAATCACGAAACCTCAAGTGTTCCAAGTGACACCCTTATTGCGTCCTCGGCCATTCAAACATCGATATTAGACTCCTTCCTCAACACCACCACTAGCCAAAACCCTAGGGCAGAGTCATCCCCACACTCTGTCTCTTCTCCTAACCAATCGAGTTCTGCTTCTCATATGAGTCACAAAATCTCAACTCCTAAAAGATTTATGGTTACAAGCTCTCTTCCTGCCTCATCGAAAAAACTTAGTGATAAGGGTCCTGTTGATGAAGCAGAGAATCAGGAAATCTCTAGTCTTCCTTTGGATGAAGGCTCAAATATAGATCCAACTGCTGGTTCTGAGAATGCTACAATTCCCAATCTTGAGCCTACAGGTACAACTTCTTCTTCTTCTTCTGCGTTTTCCATGTGGTTACAAAAGAAAGAAGCAATAAAAAACATGTTATATA